CTCTGAAGACGTCTTGTTTCCAGGCGCGATCTCACGCTCAGGTACGTTAAGAACGAATTAGTTAATATCAAGTACGCAATTTCTAACGATTTGCTTATTTGGGGCAGAAAACCTCAACGGTTGAGTCTGAGAATAAAGAGTGGGCGGAAAAGTACGGTCCTGAGGCGCAAAAAGTAATTCGCCAGACCGTTGATGAAAACATTCCTCATTACGAATATTTGAAGCAATTCTGCATTACTGTTTAATGAAAATTGGGAAGGTTTGGATATGGGTTAAGGAATCATTTCTTTTTAGAAACTATTTTTGTGTTATTGGTCTATGATACAGTATATCGGTCTGGCTTATGGCCCACCGAACTCTTTTTTATGTCCGTAATCAACGTCGCTTTTTGGAAACAAGTCTTCGGTCCAAAACACCCCCATCATGCCGTTACTAATACATCTTCCTGTGCCTTTTTACAACTCGTATCATGTCGTGTGCCATCTCCTCCTCGTATCAAACTCCATCCCCATTTTACGCCGTCGTCTTGGTGACCTTCTTTTCGGGTTCTCCTGAGGTATATGTCGGAGCCTCAAATAGAGAGTGCGTCACATTCTTCGACCACGATTCAGCGAATTTCTTATCCTGGTCGTTGGCCCAGCTGACCGTGACATCAACCAACTCCTTCTCGCCTCCTTCAGTCTCTGCAGTCAAGACCTTGTTGCCGCGGCCCTCGCCCGCCAAAACGGATGCCATGTCGGCAATCGCATTTTTCTTCTGAGCATTGAGGGCGATTCCGCGCTCCTGCTTGCTCCGGATTGGCTGGTAGTCGAATCCCTTTTCCTTCTCCTCGGCAATCTTCTTCTTGTCCTGGCTGCTGTACTCTTCCGGCCGCTTGTGTCGCAACTCGTCTGTCCATGCAACCTCGTGAAGGTGCTTCAGCTCTCGCAGCTTCTGGAATACCGAGCGGCCGATGGAACCTTGGCCGGGCTGGAATCGAATGTGGGCGAGCGGTGACCAATAGTCCTTGCGCAGCTTTGCAGGCTTTGTCTTCTTGCCGTTGAACGGCAGCTGCTTCAGGCCATGGAACCCCTATTAAGCACGGTAAGATACTTTGATCTAGCAGATTGTAAGCTGGAGAGAGGGAAAGGGAAACTGACATCCAATTGCTTGGTGAGGCTGTAAATGACCTGTTCTGATCTTCTGTGGGCAAACACCCAGATATTCTCTCCATGGCTCTCAGCGCCCTTGGATCCGGCCGCAGCCCCTTGTTGGCGGCCCGTGTGTGCAAACCGCACGCCGGATCTCAAAAGGCCCAACAATTGGCCCTGCCCGGGTCTCGAGGCGGAATTCATGGCTGCCGTCGTCTGGTTGAGCTGGTCGCACGATTCGCCCTACAAGAAAATCACCAGACAAACTGCTTGCGCGGGGTCATGTGACATGGACACCAAGTCGGCCATGTACTCATGTACTGAGTACTGGTCCGATAAGATTGCGCCGGCCAATCACAGGGCGCGCTCCCCACTTCGCCCAGCGCATTCTGGTGACGTCGAGATGAGTCTTCCAGGTTCCAGTGACTTCTGGGCAGCTCCAGCTGGAGCTGGCAGTTACTGGCAGCTTCAACTGTCATTTGTCTGCCCACCTGTCACTTGTCACACCCCACCCAACGCCTCATAAATTGCATCAGGCCGTTCCGTTTGCTCGTTTCTTGTTCTTCTTCATCTTCATCTTCACTTCACTTAATCTCTACAGCAGAGGCAGAAGCCCAAGACTTGCAACTCCGTTTGCTTGCTTGCTAATCAACTTTACGACGATAACGAACAAACCAAAACAAACAATCTGATACCCCGCTGTTTTGAATAGCAGCCTAACCTCTCAAGCTATAACATAATACCCAACCGTCATTTCTCGACTCTATTACGCTACGACTACATCATCCCACAGTCTACACTTCTTGACACACATTCGCCATGACTTCGCGAATGGACTTCACGGACCGTGCTCAAAAGGCCATCGAGGACGCAATGTCCATGGCTGAGCAGTACGGCCACTCACAGCTCCTACCGGTTCACTTGGCCGTGTCTTTACTCGAACCCCCTGTCGACCAATCCAAAGACCAACAGAATGGTCCTCAGCAGACCACCGTCACTCTCTTCCGACAAGCCGTCGAACGAGCACATGGAGATCCTCAGCTGCTCGACAGAGCCCTGAAAAAGACTCTGGTGCGGTTACCAAGCCAAGACCCTCCCCCTGATCAGGTCTCGCTGTCACCCTCGTTCCACGCCGTCCTGCGAAAGGCCCAAGACTTGCAAAAGGTCCAAAAGGATACGTTTATCGCAGTTGACCATCTGATCACGGCCCTATCAGAGGATGTCGGCATTCAGGCTTGTCTCAAAGAGGGCAACATCCCCAAGCCCAAGCTACTTCAAGAAGCTGTTACAGCCATCCGCGGCACCCGAAGGGTCGACAGCAAAAACGCAGATACAGAGCAAGAGAATGAAAACTTGGCCAAGTTCACCATTGACATGACCGCCCTGGCAAGAGACAAGAAGATCGACCCTGTTATTGGCAGGGAAGAAGAAATCCGACGAGTAGTGCGAATCTTGTCACGCAGAACAAAGAACAACCCGGTTCTCATTGGTGAGCCTGGTGTTGGAAAGACCACCGTCGTCGAAGGCCTGGCGCAGCGAATTGTCAACCGAGACGTTCCCGACAACCTAAAGGCGTGCAAGCTTCTCTCGCTTGATGTCGGTGCGCTGGTTGCCGGTAGCAAGTTCCGTGGTGAATTTGAAGAGAGAATGAAGGGCGTTTTGAAAGAGGTCACCGAGTCCAAGGAGATGATTGTTCTCTTTGTTGACGAGATTCACCTTCTCATGGGAGCCGGTTCGTCTGGTGAAGGTGGTATGGACGCTGCCAACTTACTGAAACCCATGCTTGCTCGTGGCCAACTGCACTGTATCGGTGCGACGACATTGGCCGAGTATCGCAAGTACGTCGAGAAGGACGCCGCTTTTGAGCGTCGTTTCCAGCAGGTTCTTGTCAAGGAGCCTACCATTCCAGAGACTATTTCCATCTTGCGTGGCTTGAAAAGCAAATACGACAGCCACCACAAAGTCAGCATTCTCGACAGCGCCTTGGTGGCTGCTGCCAATCTTGCCGCGAGATATCTCACTTCGAGACGCATGCCCGACTCTGCAATTGATCTCATCGATGAAGCCGCCGCAGCAGTCCGAGTCGCCAGAGAATCACAACCCGAGATCATCGACTCTCTTGAGCGCAAGCTGAGGCAATTCAAGATTGAGATTGCAGCTCTGGAGAAGGAGCATGACGAGGCATCCCAGATCCGCCTGCAACAGGCTAAGAAGGATGCACAGAACGTGGAAGAAGAACTTCAGCCCCTCCGCGAAAAGTACCAGAATGATATCAAACGAAACGATGAAATCCATCAGGCCAAGGACAAGCTCGAAGATTTGAAGAAGCGCCTTGAGGATGCCATCAACGCAGGAAACCACCAACGGGCTGCCGATCTCAAGTACGGTGCCATTCTCGAACAAGAGGCACTGATTAAGAAACTGGAGGAGAAGAAGAATGCCGCAGATGTTGCGCTCAACGCAAATGGCGACACCAGCGTCATGGTCACCGATATTGTGACGGCAGATAATATCAACGAAATTGTTGCGCGATGGACCGGCATCCCGGTTACCCGACTAAGGACTTCGGAGAAGGAGAAGCTTATCCAAATGGAAAAGGTCTTGAGCAAGGTTGTTGTTGGCCAGAAGGAGGCTGTCCAATCTGTCGCCAATGCCATCCGACTTCAACGCTCAGGGCTCAGTAACCCAAATCAACCACCCAGCTTCCTGTTCTGTGGTCCATCAGGTACCGGTAAGACGCTCCTTACAAAGGCCCTAGCCGAGTTTCTATTCGACGATCCAAAGTCCATGATTCGCTTCGACATGTCTGAATACCAGGAGCGACATGCACTGAGTCGCATGATTGGCGCCCCACCAGGATACGTCGGCCACGACGCTGGTGGTCAGTTGACTGAAGCGCTCCGACGAAAGCCATTCTCAATCTTGTTGTTTGACGAAGTTGAGAAGGCAGCCAAAGAAATCTTGACGGTGCTTCTCCAGCTCATGGACGATGGCCGAATTACAGACGGCCAGGGCAGAGTCATCGACTGCAAGAACTGCATTGTCGTCATGACATCCAACCTGGGAGCCGAGTACCTCGTTCGCCCAGGCGTGAAGGAGGGACGAGTCGATGCCAACACGCGAGAGTTGGTGATGAGCGCTCTCCGCAACTACTTCCTGCCCGAGTTTTTGAACCGTATCAACTCAGTCGTCATCTTCAATAGACTGACACGCAAGGAGATCCGCAAGATTGTCGACCTACGTATCACCGAGATCCAGAAACGTTTGGAAGATAATGGTCGCAAGGTCCATATTTCAGTCTCGGATGAGGCCAAGGACTACTTGGGCAATGCAGGTTACTCTCCAGCGTACGGAGCTCGACCACTAGCTCGTTTGATTGAGAAGGAAGTGCTTAACAGGCTCGCCATTCTCATTCTTCGAAACAGTATTCGCGATGGCGAGACTGCTCAGGTGGAACTTGATGACAACAAGATCATTGTGCTGTCGAACCACCCCGACAGCGGAACGGATGATGATGACGAAGACATGTATGATGAGGACGACGTTGAGGATGTGATTGGAGAGGACATGGACGAAGACATTTATGATTAAACGGACTGATTCTGAAAAAAAAAAAAAAAAAAGTTTCACTGAAAAGTATTTCATTTTTCATTACATGCAAGGCATGTGGAGTTTAGGAGGAATAAGGAAACAATAGTTTGGTTTGAGTGTTTATTAAAGTTGACCCTCTATAATGTATCATAGCTAGAACTAAAAACAAGGATTCATTGAAAAAAACAAAACATGGCTCCCATCCCAATAATGCATTATGACTAGTGGTATATGCAAGAAAATGAAAATTAAAACAAAAGACCATTATCCCCATGCTACTTAAATCAGACTCATCAAGACGCCATCCTCTCCTGTCCAGCCAAAATCGTCCATGAACATGGACCAATCTACGTCTTGGAATGGATCACTGGCTGGCACATTGTTGGTCATTGGCTGATCTTGAGCGACGGTATTTGTACCTGAGCTTTGATCCGTACGGAATTCTGCGTCTTAACGTTAGCTCAAAGAAAAAAACGGAAACGACATGAAGAGGAGAAGAGTGAAAAAACTGACGAATAATCTCAAGACACTTATTCACGCCGTCGGTGCTCTTCTGCGCCATGAGGAGGCCGTTCTTGAACCTCTCCAGACAGGCGTAGGTGATGCCGGCGGCGCCGCGACTGACCCATGAGGGCGGGACGGAATCGAATTTCGGGACGTAGCTCCTAAAGGACCAGAACGTCTCCATGATGACGCTGCCGCGGTACCAGATGTCCTGTTCCTTGACGGAGCAGCGCATGATCGCGGAGTAGGCCTGTTGGGCGAGGAGATTCGCCTCGTCGGGGGAGAGGGCGTCTGAGTCGGGGCCCCAGACGGAATGGAGGAGGTAGACGATTGTGTTTGCGGCGTCGGTGAGGGCGCGGCACAGGATGCCGGGGCAGTGAGAGATGAATTTGGAGCGGGAGTCGAGGTCGAGGGCTGTGAGGATGAGGGAGCGGGCGGTGGTGAAGGCCTTGAGGGTGTTTATGCGGAGGGAAGGGTTTGATGAGGGGACTGGGGTGGATGATGACGGGGATGGGGGCGGGGGGTTGACGATGGCGGTGTTTGCGTTGATGATGAGGTTGTTGTTTGTGGCGGTGATGGTGGAGGGGGACATGAAGTAGAAGAGCTGGATTTCAAGCAATGCTGCGAGTTTGAGAACCCGTGATATTTCTATGTTTTTTTGAAAGATGAGTGTCAGTATTCTTTAAAGGGTACTGGGGTATTGATGTGTTTTAACTTACCAGTGTCGAAGCGAATGATGAGCGGCTTGAGCACCTCGAACTCGTTTTCCCATACTGCGACAGCGCTCTCCGGGATGCTGCCTACCGTCGAAGTCTGCGCGTGCATGGCCATGTGAAAGCGGTTGAGGAAGCGCTGCAGCTCATACGTGGCGAGCAGATCAGCCCAGTAGTTTGATTCGAGGGCGGCTTTGCAGCGGGTGTCGCTGTGTTGGATGAAAGGGGGTGGGTGGCCTGCGCTTGCTGATGTCCTATGAGTGTATTAGCAAAAGAAATGATGAAATGGAGAACCGAGGACAGACCTTTGTGAAATCAAACAGCATGCTATCCACGTGGATGAGGCCTCCTCGTCTGTAGACGTATAGCCGTGTCGACTACCCACGCAAAACTGTGGATGTGACCCTCGGCCGGTGTGAAGGCCAAGCGACACGCAAGCATTCATAGCAATAGCCGCAAACATGGAGGAAGGATCAGTGACGAAGCGGATGGTTGGATATGGCCACGCGCAGACGAGGAGGATGGTGTGGATTTCGTCGAGGCCCAGCACCGTGCGCGACATCATTGTCCACAGATTCTTGGTCATGTGTTCGACGAGGGCGCCAAAGAGCTGGCCGTCTTTTGCATATCGCCTACTTGCCACGTATAGGACGGCCCAGAAGAGCATCGGCTGGGCTTCGTAGCATTCATCGGGCTCTTTCCTGCGCAGGATGGGGAGAAAGGGGTGAAAGTGCTGTAGGAACCTGGGAGGGGTTTATCAAGTTTAGTTTTTCATCGTGTTTAGTATCGTTGAGAAGAGATGGTGGTCTGAACTCACTTGCTAAAATAGTAGTCGACATCTTGTCCAGAAATGAGAATAGAGCCGAGCACGCGAGCCTCGGTAGGTCCGACCTTCTTCTGTTTCTTCTCGGGGGGGCGAGATGGCGGTCCAACGAGTTGGATGGACATGGGAGGCCGTGCTGGTGTCTGGGCGGTTGAGGACGGCGCGTGGTCTGAAGCTGCGGAGAAGGCCGTAAGTGGGCTTGGAGGCGACCAAGCAGATTCGCCATTGGGATTTTTGGTGTTGACGACCTTTTGGATGCTTCTCAGTTCCTGTTCCAGTTGCTCCAGCTTGCTATATGAGGGTTGTGAGAAGTCAGCCATGATGGATGTTTTTTTTATCATATTGAGCAAAGACGAAATGAATTTCGCAACTGCTTATATTGTACAATGAGAGAAATAACCATGTATACCTTCGTTTTGTGACTCTTTTATGAGATTTATCGACAACGCATGAGATTTGCAGCTTGGCGCATCTCTGGCATGGCTGGCCGGAGACTGGGCTCGTCTTGCAGCGGACCTTTTTACAACATCAGCCTTCACATTTCCAGTATTTTTGATAAACGTCCAAAAATAAAAAATGAGACTCAAAACAAATTATAGAAGAAACAGCGAATGTCCTGCTCACCTTTGAGTTGCGACAGTTGACACAGGCCACATTCCGCCTGGTCCTCTCATCATGGCTCGGTGAGTCCGCTGACGGCGGCGTCGGCGCCATCGAGCCCGGGAGTCTGGATGTTCAAACCGCTGATTTCAATCACTCCGCAGGAACATTCCCCTGCGCCAATGTTTTTTGCCCAAGTCCGGGGGGAGGGGACTTCAAGTGCTCTCTTCTCCTTTGTTGTCTTTGCCAAGTCGGAAATCGGGGTGACGGCGCTGTGGGATAGCGGGATGAGGCTCTAGTCACATGTCATGGCTCGCGCCCTTTTGGCTCTCGGCATCAGAATCGACGATCTGGAACAAGCTCCCCGTCACTTTTTTTTTGGGCTGCTCCCGAAGATGTCAGTGGCATCGTTGAATCCATCGGGTTTTTGCAGGCTTCAACTGCCTTAGACATAAACAGGCCGGGGCCGGGCTTCTGTTAACCCCGATTGCCGGCCGGAGGACGTCACGTGGTCTGATGACAGCATCCGATCAGTTGATGTTATTCAATCCTTATTGAACCGTGATATCTTACAAGTCAAGCATTGCCATTCTTCTATTGGGTCCATATCCAGCCTACATGTGCTCTTCTTCATCCAAGATCCATTCCTAGTCCTCTCCTGCCATAGCCTGTATAAATCCGTACCTCCATGCATGTAATCCAATCATCCAACAGCTGTCTCCTATTTCTCCTTCTTGCCTTCGTCTTCTGCCGTCTTGGCTACTGTGTCATGTCCAGATTTTGCATATCCTCCCATCAACTTCATCAAGACCCAAATGAAGCCCAGTGCCACAGCAACCGCCGTTCCAACTCCCACCCACTGAGATGCTCCTTCCGTCACCACAGGGACGCTGATGTTGTTGATGAGGCGGTCACCAGCTTCCGGCTCGGGGCTCACATGCCAAAACGTAGTGCCCGGGCTGAATAGGCCGTCGTACCCCAGGTTGAGTCGGTCAAATGGGCTAACGGCATAGCCAACGTCTTCCTCACCACCGCACGCCCAGAACACCGCGGGGTAAGGAATTCCAGCCTCTTCCTTGCCTGTCGGGGAGGGCTTGAGATAGCGTAGATGAAGAGGCACCTCGACGGTCCAGTCCTTGGCTGCGGCCTTGCCCTTGGGAGGTGCCAGTTGTAGAAGTACGTTTGATCCCCATTCCTTGGTTGTGTATGCGGGAGCCTCAAGATCCACGGGCTCGCTCACGTACTTTGCGGCTGCCAAGTTTTTCGACGCAAGGAACAGCTCGTCCGCCAACTGGTACCTGTCGGCGAAGATAACCTTTGGCAACGTGAGGTATGCATATGGAGCGCACTCGGCGTCCTCATCGAGCGGAGGTGCCGCCGTGCTCAGACTCAGCTGCAGAGTGGGGTGTAGACCTGTTGGTTGCTGGAACTTGGACGTGAAAGACCCCGATGCAGCTCTGTGCCGCGCTGCAAAGGCAAATAAAGCTGGTGATGGCTCTTTTGTCTCCCCAATGACAGCCAAAACGCCCGAGACGCCGATTTCATGCGCCTCCATTCCGGGCGGGGCGCCTCTGCTTAGGATACCGACTTCAGTCCGGCCCTTGGGTGACGCAGGCACGGATATCTCTCGCTTCTGCAGCGGCCACAGGGCCTGGATCTTGACAGACTCCGAGGTGGAATCGTAAGACATGTCCAAGCTCACGGCATCCTTGAGGTCCTGAAGCTGTTTCCTACATTCAGCAGCAGCTGGCCCCGAGCAGACTACAGGACCGAGTCTCTTGGCAAACCCGTCCAGCTTCTCCAGCTCGTTGTAGAAGAACAAAGCGGGAGAGCCTGGTTGGCGTCCATCACTGAGGTTGATGAAGACCTGTAGAATTGGTTAGATGATGGCGCTTTGCTTTGGGTTACATATACATGAATCTCACATCTGGTGATGAACAGTCTAGCCGCCCAAACGCCTGCAATGCTGTGCACAGCTTCTCCCTGTCCCAACCGTTAGCCATCGAGAGTCTCATACAAAGGCAACAGGGCTAAACAAACGGGTCGTGGTCCTCCTTGAGAGGAGTATATGATACGTGGAGGCCCGGAGAGATGCGGGAGCTAAACGGCTCCAGAGTGTTGTAACTCGCCGGCGTCGCCCATCTCAGATGCAGCTCCTCGAGATCACGAAGAAGCCCAGCCAGTTCAGAGGGCAGCTCCGGCAGCGTCAGCGTGATTTTGTGCTCCTTGAGGGCCTCTATCGCCGGGCCCTGGACTTTGGTGTCGTGGATCTCCAGCTGGTTGGGGTCCATGTCCGCATCTTGCGGGCGAAAGTATGTGATTCTCTCCCTCATGGCTGCTGACGAGATGTGAATAAATCAAATTGCTAGATTTGTTACGAAATTGGATGAATATTGTTGCAGCTGTAAGATCCAGAGGCGATCGTTGATAGGTAATTGACGATGAAAACGTTGAATGTTTGTTTCTTTGTTTTGATATGACGACAGCAGATGGAATGATTCGGCTGAGGTGTCCACTAAATCTGCAATGCCGCCTTAGCGGGCGTTCAGGCACCTCCACAGCCGTTATAGGGGATTGACCCCACTAGCTTAAGGGGGAGCTCATTAACCCCCAGATTGGGGCGTTGCGTATGTACCTCCTTTGATGCTCAACCGCTTTATTGTGAAATGAATCAAGTGACATTCATAAAATGAAGTTTCATCAAGCCAATTTATGAAATCTCAACTTGCAAGCATGACATCAGCCAGAGGTTATGAGGACTAACAGAGGCGCTGATTGCCCACAGCAATGGCTCTTACATATAAGTCATAAGGTACACTGACAAAATATATTCAAGTAAGCATGAGAGTCTCAACTGAAACAAGAAGTAATCAATTCCATTATTAAAATTCAACATACTATCAAATAGCTCTTGTGTAGTGAAAAGCATAACTCTCCAGCCCCTAAACAGTAGCTATTATGGCTTCTCGTAAACAGCGAAACCTCCTATCCATATTTGGTCGTGTGCTCATACCCTGGAATCCATCCCCCTTCAGCTCAGCCTCGACTATTCAAGTTAATACCGCTGCTTCGCTTCATACAGCGCAATCGGCACTCCTTGTCCCGGACAGCCTACAATATCTGCCTTAAGATACTGCGCTGCCCAGTCTCCCCTATACTCGATTCTTTCGTATCGCTGCAGAAGACGAACCACTGTACAGTAACGCGTTAGTAAAAAGGAGTAGAAAAATCAGCCCACGGCTCAGACTGCCTGTATATGTGCAAACTGCATGTATGCACTCTCTCATTCCCACAGCATAGCATCAAGACGGAAAAACAAAACTCACATGTGAAAGCCATCTCCGTCATGGCGAAATTCTGCCCAATGCAGATTCGAGGCCCGCCGTTAAAGGGAATAAACTGCCATGGCTTGGGCGTCCAGTGTTCCCATCGCTCGGGGCTGTAAATATCCGGATCGGCAAACTTTTCGGACACCGGAGGATAGAAATCTTTGATGCGCTGCATGGCGAGGGTGCTGTAGAGGATGTGGTCGCCTTTGAGGGTTGCAATGTCTGGTTGGCCTGGCTTGCCTGGCAAGGTCGAGTCTTCAACTGTTGTTACATTGAGTCAATGTTTGTTCTAAAAAGGTTTTTTAAATATCGGAAGGTTGTAGAGGCAAAGATACTCACGGCATGACCTGACGTTGAAGGGGACTGCAGGATAGAGTCTCAGGGTCTCGTACAACGCATGAGTAAGACACGTTAGATCCTTAAGATCTTCGTACGTTGGTGCTGCATCCGGTCCGACAGTCTCAAGAACGCGGCTTCGTAGTCTGCTCCAGATCTTAGGGTAGTTGGATAGTTCATAGAGTGTCCAAGACAGAGTCGCTGCCGTTGTGTCTCGCCCCGCCAACAACACTGCCATGATCTGGTCGCGAATAACTTTTGGATCTCGTGAAAAGAGGGCCATGTTGTGCAGAAAAGTGAATTCCTTGTCCGACTTGGATATCGACTCCAGCTCCTCTGGTGTGAGGGCTAAGGTTGCCTCGATAAAGGGCTGTATAAACGCTTCGAGGATCTTGATGCCCTTTATGTACTCGCCCTTGGGGATGAAGCGTTTGAGGGGTCTATGGGAAGGGTTAAGAAGGGACTAAACATGCTAATCGAGGGTAATATGAGGATCTGACCAAGGCACTTACGCGAGGATTGCGAGAAGCATCTGAGTTCGTTGGACCTTTGTAAAAGCGGTTGTAAATTCACCATTTGGGCTTTCGACGTGTCAGCCGACTATACTACTGCGAAAATGCATCTGTAAGGAAAATAAATGGAAGGATGATGGATAACTCACTTGTCCAGGCTATCGACACTGTGACCTAGCAGGTAGTCTGTTATGGCATCCAGCGTCATACGATAGAACAAGTCACAAATATCGACCGTCTGTCCCGAGGGTGGCAGCTTTGAAATCAGCACGTCATTCCATCTTTCAAGAATGTCCAGATCCCTAATCTTCTGCTTTATAAACATTGGCCGGATCAGATTCCGGCTCTGCTGCCACATCTGCCCATCTGTCGTAAAGATACTATCGCCTAGGAATGGTTTCCATGTCCTGTGGAACATCTCACCCTTGCCAAATTGCGTAAAGTTTGTCGTGAGAAGCGCTTTGATATGCTCGGGATCAACGGTCAATATGGATCGGCGGCCAAAAATGGTCATTTCGACGGCGTGGGGGCATCTCGGGTCTGCATCTTTGAACATGCTAAAGAAATTCTCGAGCATTCGGTTGTTGGCATGCATGTAACCTGCCTTGAAGAAGTGGTAAAATGCTAATGACTCAGTTAGTGCCTGTTATGGTGCTTGTTACTTGGTATGTTTAGCCATCCGTCTTCATACAGGTGACTGGGTTCCAAGCGAGGATGGAGGCTCTGACTCCATCGACTTTGCTCAGCCGGTAATTGACAACCAGTCGCTCGATAATCCCAAGCACAACGACGAGGCATGGTATGGTAATGACTAGCCACAAAGCCAGCCCCGGAATCTGCGCTTGTAGACTCTGCAGCATTTTGATCCTAAGCTCAGGCAGTCCTATGAGTGAGTTTCAGTAACAAGTGGGAAAACTAGAGCAGCATGGACGGATCGCGGAACAGGCGTACATATAGAGTTATATATACGGATCTCAGAATGCGATGCCAAAGTAAAAAACATAAGATTTTATTTTGTCTTCGATCCCCCTGTCAGTTTGATGCCCCGCACGACACTAGATCGACTGACTGGCGGCCGCTCACCTTTAGTTCATGCAATATAATCCTTCGTTGGGACAGAGAAACCATCTTTTGCGAGCGATGGAAGCTTAGTCTTGACGTAGGATTGCGTATGCCATGAATTCAGCTTGTGACTAGCGCACAATGGCGACGATGGATCATTCTCGTTTTGAAATGGTCCTGTGGAGATGAAAAGGATCAAAAATAGAGAGCACCCGTGATGCCAAGATACGTCCTATGGATCCATTAAGTGAAGAGATAGATTAATATTGTATATAACTGGGCATATAGGGAGTTCGGAGTATATTAATGCAGAGAACGCAGGAATGTCCGCATGCCGCGGAATCCGGACTACCGCACCGCTTTTAGTTTTGCTAAGAGTAATAAATAATCGATTCATGTGCTAGGTGAAGTGATCCAAATGGTTCTTGAATCATCAAACCAAAACCTCATCTCTGATCTAGAGTGCATGTCAATCGACTGCCAGCCTTCTTCATCACCAAGAATGGCATCCCGGCCCCCGTCCAGTGTAGCGCACTCGACGGCAACTCCACCAGCCTTGTGGCTGATTTTATAATGGATTGAGCCCGGCAGCATTATAACTTGCACGTCAATGTCCGGTCCTTGGCGACAATTCCCTGCGGCTGCTAACGTTCCATCCTCATATAGAAGCATCATTCCCAAACACAGACGGTCCCTTTCTGGTGTTCCTTCAGGAACCTGCCGCCGGAAAAGCCATATCAATTCAACATTTTCCAATCCCACTATTGATACATAACAGAAGCTCGAACTCCAGCTGAATCCCCGCGATTGGGCTAATTGGCTTGGGGCGAGGGGTGAGATGCCGGTATTGTTGACTGAAGCTGAGACAGCTGCAAAGTAGCTAACCCTTTGGAACGGGAAATCTACATCCTGGAATAAGAGATGCGTGGCCGTATTATTGCCACTCAATTGCTGGAAATGGACCTCTGGTCGAGTCGGACACAAATATTTGCCAAACAGCTGGAATCTGCCTCTTGTCGTGATTACCTAGAGACGCGTTTGATCAGTAACAATTGTCCGAAGATGCAGCGAAGCAGTTTCATAGCAACATACAGCAAGGGTATCTGGGATGCTATCATCATAGGGTTCACACCTGCGGACCCAAACTGAACTAATCTTCTCCCCTTTGGCGAGAGGAAAGAAAATGGCTATTACGGAGCTGCTCTCTATTGCCGACGGTACGAGCTGTGCCATGGAAGGCGAATTGTCGCATGGGTAAGAGTAAGGGCCAGGAAAAGTCTCCTCGTGGTGAGGGTAGATCCAGCGCACTGCGCCGTGTTGGCAAAATACAGTGAGGCCCGTGATGTCCTTAAGAGCGATGGACCGGATGCGGAGAATGCGCAGGTTACCTGTAATTTCACGATTCCACCGAGTGAGGGCCGGATCAGGTGGAACTGGTGTATCCCATAAATGGAAAGATGGCAGTTTGTGAATTCGCATAAACGGTCCCTTATGATAAGAGTCAGTTGCTTGCCGCAGAATGACGATAATCAACTCACCTTGGTTTCAATGCGGGCCTCTTGCATCTCAGACACTTCTTCCACAACAAACCACGCGTTTTGAGAGCGAGAAGCCGCAGTTGGCAGAGCAGGTGAGTCGTTTACGTAGTCCAGACGTGATACACCAAGGTCATCCAGTTGGATCCTAATTTTGCCGCTCCCACCGCTACCGGCAACCATTCCATCTCTTCGGCACCAAGATTTGATATCATCAAACGAAAACCCTTTGATCTCAATGTCAGGGTCTAATAGAGGTTGAAAAATACGCCATCTGCTGAGTGCTGACACAAGCCTCCAAGCAGGAGATTCGGGACAGCGTTGTGCAATAATGTCTCTCAATTCCTGTGGTATGCTGCAAACACGAGCGAGAATCGATTCATGATCGTCAATGAGAGTTTCATCAGCTACAGCTCCAAGTGTAATATCGGGCGGTGCTTGATAGCGTGTTTTGGGTAGCGACTCTGTCCACGAAGCAATTGTCCAAATATCACGGAGACTTGGTCTCTTTGATGCTGTGTTTTTGCTAATTATATGGAAGCAGTCTATATGATAGATGGACGTGTCATGCAGCGTTGCACAGTTGTAACAATCGCTTCTGCGACAAAACAGCCATGGGTAAGAGGTCGATCTCGATTTCTCATAGACTGTAGCGCCATATTCAAATTGAGCGACTGTTGGGAAAGAAAACCCGAGAGTATATGCAAGATAAGACGGCGAGCCCCAATGCCCGAAAACTGAGAAGAACAGGGTTAGAAATACAACTCAAACTAGCACGCACTGCCAGGTACATGTATGCGAGTAGGCATCCAGAGAGTCAATGTAGCTCACCTGCGGCAATTATCTCGCCAGGTCGAACAGCATAGCGACACAGTATGCAGTACGGGGTCTGGAGTGAGATGTGGTAGTCAAGACCCAGCGGATGAGGGACAACCAACGCATTGTCGGTGGACAGCGTCATGATTCCCAAGTGAGATGTCAATGCTATGTAGCGTATAAGGCAATGCGAACAGCGAAATAACCAAGGGAAGCACACTCGAAAGTCACTACCGTATCGCGGTCATATAAGCCATAGCTGTTGTAAAAAAGAAACTGTTGCCTGGGATGGAGTTGATTGGGTGCGCGCTGTTTCATCCATTGAGCTTGCGCGGACAAGGCAGTTTGGCCATTCAGCTGAGGCACTTTAGGCTGACACCAGCCACTATCACAGGCAATGCCATTGCATACAACTTGCCGGCAGTCATCCAACATGTCGATGTAACAACTCTGCTACCTGCCGCACTGCAACCTCACCTGAAAGGTGATATAGTCCGACAAGACGTATATTATATTAGTCAAAGCAGGATACATATACAGTAGAAGGCTTCATAAGTGTTGCGATTTCTACCCTTGCCTCACACTGGCTTGGCACCAACATCAGCATGTACCTCTTGCTTATTTACTCGTATGAAGCATGATATTCCACTAATCTGTCTTAAAAACCGTCTTGTTCATCGCTGGAGTTCAGATCCGGGCCCAGCGCGACAGAAGGGTAATCGAGCTTCACCGGCTCGAAAATTGACAAGGACATATTATATTATAAGAACATCATGGAAAGACGATATTATTATCATATTAATAATAGGTTGCTACAATACTCTTCTTGTATCTCATAATGACCTCTTGTTATCATCGCTAAAAGCTGTGCCGTGTTCCAGGTCTTACAGTTCACTCACACAGATACCACCTGCTCTTAAGCCACCAGTAAGCCCCAGTAGCTATCCGTGTGTGGCTGGCCCATCACAGAAGCTATCGTCCATTCTAGCAGCCTTCTGATGACGGCCAGCCTTGACGAACTTCCACCTCAAAACTAACCAGAACTCAAATAACCCCGTCCAACTCCTAATTCTGTCCCAAACTGTCATACAGCTTTTGTCTGCAGCAGCATCATAATGGCTCTCGAACCTACAACGCCCCTCACCCCACGCCAATCCAAAGTCGTCGGCGCCCTGCTCGGCCTCCACGCCGGCGACTCCCTTGGCGCCAGTGTCGAATTCAAATGCCACACCCAAATCCACACCCAATATCCCAACGGCCTGCGTGACATCATAGGCGGCGGGCTCCTCTCCTGGCCCGTCGGCCATGCCACCGACGACACGGACATGACGCGCGCCGTGCTCCTCGCATACCGTGAGCTCCATGACAACCCGCTCCAAGATGTCGCCATCCTCGCGGGGAAGCATTTCCTAAACTGGTACAGGGGTGATTGGCCTGGGAGGAAACCCGGCTCGCGGCCTAGAGATGTTGGATTGGCCACAAGAGCAGGACTACACAAGTTCTCAAAGACGCTTGATCCTGAAAAGGCTGGTGCGGGGGAAGGAAAGGCAGGGAACGGTAGTTTGATGCGATGTCTAGCAACGGGATTGTTTCAGAGCGATCCAGATAAGTTGGTCAAGGAGAGCATGCGAATAAGCATGATTACGCATGATGACGAGCGGTGTACGATTTCGTGTGCAGTATATAACCACATCGTCGCGGCTTTAATACGAGACACAAGTCCAGAAAGTGCAGTTGACGCCGGGGAAATATTGGCGGAGAGGCTGGAAAATAAGAAAGACGGGGATGTGTGGAAGGCCGTGAGACTTGGGAGGAAGCTGTCGATTGCGCGGATGGCGAGGGATGGTCCCGACTTGGGCGAAATGAAGGGAGCGTGTAGTGGGTTTGTGCTGGAGACGTTGGCGTTGGCGATAGCTGCGGTATTGGATAAGAGGTCCTTGGAGGATGTGCTGGTCGACGTGGTGAGGATAGGCAACGATACTGATACGAATGGAGCCGTGGCGGGAGGGCTATTGGGCGCGAGGGATGGTGTTGACGGCGTGCCGGAGAGGTGGAAGGCGAAGCTGCAGTTTGGGGACGAGTTTATGAGGATTGGGGTTGAGTTGACGCCGGAATAAGGTGCTTTGAAGTAGAAATTGATTCTGCAAACGTGACGATCTGAATATTGTTTCATCCCTAAATAGACCCTGCCTCACAACATCATTCATTATAAGCAGCATTAAGGCTGGCGATATATCCAGCAAAAGGACAAAGTACAAAAAGAATATCCCCGCACAATGCACATTCAACAATCCTAGTCATCGTTCATCGTAACCAGTTCGTTTTACATAAAGCCGCGGGACATGTGTTTAATTTTCCAACTTTGTCCACTCGCCATATTTTCCACCTCATTTGACAGTTGCCTTGTCCAGCGCTGAAGCTCCGTTTGCCTTCGAAATAGCACCGTTAGCTAATTTTAATAATTCTGTTACAAATCTGCCTGCTTGTTCATTGTGCTTGGTCTCATAATCAGTGACGGTTTGAGTTCGTAGCCTATTGACTACCTTTAACGCCAAAGCAAGCGATTCCATATCAGCTACTGCTTGAGCACCAACAGGATGTATGAGAATATTGACAAATAATGACATTGCGGCTACAAGTGGGTAAGTGATGGTATGCCTATCATTCATTCAGTTTTTGTATCGGTTACAACTCTCGCAAGATTCTCAAGTTGCTGCAAAGGGTCCTTTAGTACTTACCAGAAGGTTTCTTGTTTGAGCATCGCGATTGGCTCATTGAGTAGATATAGAGTAGAGCGGCTGGCTTCCAGTGATAGGTCGATACTTGAATGCATCGCACTATGAAGTTCTTCGGGCGGACTAGTTTCTGCGCCCTGAGCGGCTCCAAATCTTCTAACTGGCGTATGAATAATGGTAAGAAGATAGTGATATTCCAACTGCAGCTGGACTGATCTCAGATAACTTAAAAAATTGCGAGTGGACACTACGCCGTGACCTGGAGGAATTGATAGCTTAGGGCGGAGTGCTGCAGTAACGGATAACCGCCAGCTCTCAAGCTCGTCATCCAGCTGGCGAATGCGAGTGAGCAGCTCACTATCGATAATTTTTAACGCAGAGGGCGAGTAAAGTAGCCGAAATATCCTCTCTTTCAAGACTCCGAGGTGCGGGTCGCCTGGCAGAAATGGGATTGCTCTATTCCAGGCAATAGTGCCGATATTTTCGGTATCGGTATTACTAGATAGCTGTAGAAAAGTATCATGGTTCAAATATTCTTCATCAATCCCGCCAATATCACAGTACTCGTTGGCGAGGATAGGAGGTAGCCCGGATAGGAGGGCGAGATCCTTGTCGGATATATAGCACAGCCAGAACAGCTTCCTCATGTGGTCTTTCCGGCGCTCAAAGAGAGATTTTTCAGCATCCTTACGATCCATCGGATGTTGTAAGTGGCCGTTGAGTTCACACACCATTCGGTATGCGGTTGAATGCAGCGCCTCAGCACTATTATACTGGCCAATAGCTGTTCGGTACCTGTGCTAATTCTAGAGTTTAGCTACTTCTCAAACTCATTGGATCAAGATACAGATGGATAGATGAACTTACCAATAGTAATAATGTTTGGAGAGTATGCAAATCTGCGGGGCCGTTAAGGAGTCCTAGAAACCATTGTGCCCTCGCTGCGCATATCTCACTACTGACAGACGCAGAGAAATGTTCAGACACCCTCAAATGAGCCAAAGCGGCGAATGCAGCCCAGAGGCATGCTCTTGCTGCCGCATGAGTCTGAGAGGCGTATACACCTTGGAAGGATTGGTAGGCTATGCTTATAGTCTCTTCAAGAAGCACTTGGTCGAGAAGGGGAAATAATATGTGAAAGGAAGAGCTCGGGAGCGATCGAAAGGACTTGCGCACCAAGTCTCTATCAGGCAAATCCCATGGCTCTCCAATGAGAGCGTATCCCCGAAGAGCTGAAAAGGTCCAATCCGGTTGGTCAGAACCACCTCTGGGCAAGTAAGACTTTAATGATGCCGTATCTTGGTCAGTTCTGGAAGCAATCCATTCCAGGCCACTCTCGGAGATGATTGGCAATCCTCTATGGTACCAGTTTCGTCCAAAGAGGCGAGTTGTGAAAACAATATGTGCATGAATACCATCTTTAGAAGATGGACTAGCTTGTCCTACGGGAGGCAAGTCTCGAGTGGTTTGCTCTTTCGAGCATTCTTCAGTCAGTTGCGATTCAGAAAAGTCGTCATTGATAACACTGAAGAGTATCAAGTCCCCACGACCACTTGGTTTTTCAGGTACATTGGGATGCTGAAATGCATTGGCCTGGGCGAGGGCGTTTTCAAGGTGCCTAATCCGATCCAGCAGCTTATTCGTGTCTACGCCCTTTGTCCTGCAACATGTGTTAATGATGCCAAAAGCTAGACAACTTCTTTTAGCCCTTAGCATACCTTTTTACAGAAAATGTTCGTTTTTCTCTGGTAACTGCGCATGCCAACTTCTGATGACTGCACCAGTTACAGGGTAGGCTAGGGCCAGGACGGCAGCATTCTATCTAGAGAGATCGAGTCAGGATTGTCATAACATCCTCTAGGGAAGTGGCCTACCTTTCTTTTGAAGCACACATCACAGGCCCTTATCGGGGGCATAATTGCAACAGGTAGGCACTAGCAGGGGCGCAATTATCAGGCAATCACAGAAGAGAGCGCCAGACAGGTCAACCAAAAGCACTGGCAGCTAAAAGGGAGGAAGGATATCGTTCGACTCCAAAAATGGTTGACTAATCGGATAAAAATCACAGTATCCGATTACATAATATACGCTAGTCCCTTTTGGCTTCAACATCATTCCACTCTCTCTCCGTCTGTCCAATCATATTACATCATTGCGCGGCACTCCATTGCTTCATGTTGGTAATTTGGTTGTTGGACGAGAGGTGCCCTCATGCTTCTTTGTTCTACGATGTCCGAGGGTAATCATCAATATCAAGATGCATCTATATAAGTAAGGCCTACTCCGCCGTCGCAATACATCTCTCCATTCTCCACCTCCTTCTCATAGTTTTGTGCCTCTATCTCATACCGCCTACAATGGCCACTCCTAGCATCTCTGTTCGTTGGACCAAGCTTGTGGCGGCCTCTCGCCTTTGCCGTTCTTCGCATATCTTGTCGGCCAATGCCTCCAGAGTCTTGATCTTTGGCGGAGAACTCCTGCCCCGGCAACCCGTGGACAGCAACGTCGATCAAATTGACGTGGATGCAGACTTTAAAGGTAGAGTCAGCTACCTCGCTCTTCCATCTCAGCAGATTTCTAACTCCAGGCTTCAAAGGCAAAGTCAAGACGCTTCCTGCTCCGGATAATGCACCCTCCGCACGTGTTGGCTCAGCTAGTGCCACCGTTGATGGCAGCATCTGGCTGTTTTCTGGACGCGGAGGTCTAGCCATGGACGCAATTGAAGAAAATGGAAGCATGTGGCGATATGATGGCACCAGCTCTACCTGGCAGCAAATTTCCGCCAAATCTGCAACCTATCCCGTGTCCCGCAGCTACCATGCAATGGCATTTGACGGTGAGAAAACTATATATCTTCACGCAGGTTGTCCAACCCAGGGACGTCTCTCCGATCTATGGGCTTTCAATACTGAGACTCTTGTTTGGACTGAGCTCCCCTCTGCTCCTGGACCTGCACGCGGCGGTACATCAATCGCCTTTTGCGAAGGCAAGCTTTATCGCATGGGTGGCTTTGACGGGAAATCGGAGCAAGGAGGCGAGGTTAACATTTATGATACTGCCTCTCAAGAGTGGCACACTACTGCATTCACCGCTGATGGTGTCCAAGGACCAGAGGCGCGCAGTGTAGCAACGCTTCTAGCAGTCCAGTTACCAGGAAACGAAAGTGCACTGGTTACCATGTTTGGAGAGCGGGATCCCTCATCCCTTGGTCATGCTGGAGCCGGAAAGATGCTGAGCGATGCATGGGTTTTCAATATCAAATCCTCAGCATGGAGCAAGGCCTCATTCTCTGGAGAGAGTCCAGCAGCCCGAGGATGGTTTGCCGCAGATGTTCTGAAGCAACAAGAGGGGGATGCGGTAATTGTTCATGGGGGCCTTGCAGAAGACAACACTAGATTGGGAGACGCATGGAGGCTGGATTTTTTGTAACGTAACAAATACTTGCACTTATAATGTGCCGTTTTCCGCTCAACCCCGAATTTACATGTGCCGTGATGTCCATTTGAGTGGATAGATGGGTGATCAGGCCACTCGCTGTGAGAGCAGCTCTCCATTGGCAGAATTCGTCTTATGTAATCGGACAACATCTTGTCCGTGGCGTTTTTAGCACCATTTTTGACATGGAGCTGATGCTTGGCCAAATGCTCCATCTGCGGTGAATGCAATGAAACTCAAACTCGGGATATAAGCACGAGTCAATATTTTCTATATAGAAACAGGTATATATACTTAGGTAACAAAAACTGTGCACATGTACTTTCTTTCTACAGTTCTCAATATGAGTGTATCTTCAATTCTTGTCACCTTCTGTCTTCGAAACTGGCACCATGGAATCCGTTGAGGAGCAACTGGCTCTGCTGGGGCCAGGCGCCATTCGCCCAGCCTATGACCATGGCCATGACCATGTCCCGGCTTCAGTCGCTCGCCGGCTCTATGTGTCGCACTTCTTGTCGACCTGGAACTCTAGGGTCTTTGAGTTTGGGGCGGTTCTTTACCTGGCAGCTGTTTTCCCAGGAACCCTGCTACCAATGTCTCTGTATGCTCTCGTCCGCGGCCTCTCTGCAATTGTCTTTGCGCCGGCGGTTGGGTGGTACATTGACACAGGAAACCGGCTTCAAGTCGTTCGCGTCTCTATTGGTGAGCTGAGATATATGACTGTTGTAATAAGTTCGCTTCCTAATAGGCAACAGTTTTCCAGAGGCTTGTAGTTGCGGCATCTTGCGCCATCTTCTATGTGTTAGCTGCTGACATACCACTCACTTCTGGTGTAAGAGCAGGCCTGCTTGTAGTTGTCACGTTCTTTGCCTGCGTGGAGAAGCTATGCTCGATATTGAATCTAGTCTCTGTCGAGAAAGATTGGGTGAGCTAGTTGTAGTGGTCTTCTGTTTATTCCTGGTGTGTGCTAATACATCTGGCTAATTGCCAGGTTGTGGTCGTAGCAGAACGAAACCCAGAAGCGCTTCGGGTTATGAATGCTCAGATGCGGCGGATTGATCTGCTGTGTAAGTTGTTTGGGCCACTATTTATTGCCATGATAGACGCCCAATCATCTCAAGTGGCCATGATTGCCAATTTTGCTATGAATGCCGCAACTCTCCCCATCGAGTACTTCACCATCGCTCGAGTCTATTTCGACATTCCGGAGCTGCAACAGGCAAAGACAACGTTGCAATGGAGTACTACGCCACAAACAGAGTCATCTCGCACCCAAAAGACGTTTAACAGCATGATCTGGAAGCCGGTGGTTGCCATGAGTAAAAAATCTGTACAGGACTTCTCCTTGTACTTCAAACACAAGGCATTCCTCCCCTCCATTGCAGGCGCGGTTCTATATTTCACAGTCCTTAGTTTTGGAGGCCAAATGGTTACATATCTCCTCTCTTCGGGTTACTCATCCATGCAGATCGGCATTGCTAGGACAGTTGGCGTGATATTCGAGGTGCTGTCTACGTGGGCGGCGCCTTGGCTTATGGGACGAATCGGGGCGATAAGAGCTGGTCTCTGGATGAGTAGCTGGCAAGTCATCATGCTGGTTGTGGGAGTATGCATCTTCTGGACGTTTGATGGAAAGGACTCGCTCATCTCGGCAAGCGGGCTTGTTGGGGGCACGGTGTTTAGTCGTTTGGGGCTGCGAGGGTTTGACCTATGTGTCCAGCTCATTGTCCAAGAGGTAAGGAAAGCTGCATGTTGCCGGCAGCACAAGGCCATTTTAAAAGCGTCGTCATTTCTAACAACATCATTCAGGAGGTTGAAGCAGAAAATCGCGGCGTCTTCTCTTCCGTCGAGGCTGCGTGGCAGAATGCCTTTGAGCTTCTCGCCTTTGCGTCCACCATTGTCTTCTCCCGCCCCGAAGAGTTCAAATGGCCGTCACTCATCTCGACTCTGGCCGTTGCCTCGGCCAGTAGTGCTTATGCAACGTTTGTGTACCTGCGTAGAGGACACCTGTTACACCTTGAGGCTCTAGCAATCTTCCTGTTCACCGAGAAGAAGAGACAGGAATCTGGCCCGGAGATATAAGACACGGCGCAACAGGAGACAGGCCTGTTTTGGGCATAGCGTACTGGTAGCAATTGACGATTGGCGTTCTAAGTTGCGTACCTTAATATGGATCACGCATGATGAGCTGCAGATCCTGCAAGGAGAGGACTGTTCCCTGCAAGGAGCAAGGAGAGCAGAATCGGTGGCCAGTTTGGGCAACTATTTTGCGGCAGCTATAAGCAGTAGCTCCTCTGGATCCTTTGCGGCTCGGGCAATTGGATCCAGGACACAAGCCGTATTTCCTCATGGGGCACCGAGGCCAGCGGGCGAAGTAGCGCAGCATGAATCGTGCCTGTGGCTGGTGCGCTGGTGCGCTGGTGCGATCTGGGACACCGATCTTGCGCTGTATTGCGTGGTGCTGTGCTTGGAGCTGTAAGCTGTAAGCTGTTGTGGCTGGTGCACGGCCGCTGTGCCGGTACTGTAAGAGCTCAGCACAACCTCTGAAAACAGCACTGAAGCCGCCTTGCGGAAACGTAGGGCGCTCAGTGCAACCTCGCTAAGCCGCTTTGGGGACCGAGTGGCTTGTGGCAAGGCCAGCACCTTCACTTGACACCTCACCGAAGGCCGCCAAAAATGGGCTGCTGATCCACGTGCAACGGCCCTCACTCCACTTGGCCTTGACATCAAAGTCTCTTCGCCGGCCTCAATTTACGCTGCTTGTTTCGTCTTTTCCACGGCCGCGATGCTCCTCTTCAAAGTCTCTCTCTCTCCATGCTAGTCTTGCAACTCTCCTTCCTCAACGCTCGGAGTACGCGATAATCCTCTAGTCAGATGCATGTGGGGTGAAGTTGGGGAAAGCCCACAGCTAGTCTCCGATCGTTTGCTTTGTCCGAGCTCAAGTCCAGGTCCAAGCAATACAGCAAACAATGAGCGGCCAGCCGTACGTCACCATTCGCGGCCGCGAAGATGGAGTTGGTATAAGAAACGGCGCTCCCGTACGTTCAAGGTCCCCCCTCTCCCCCGCTCTTCTCTGCTCTCCGTGGTGTTGAGCATGTATATATGTGACTGTCGAAGTGTGAGAGCGAATAATGGGCTCACAGCGACTGCGACAGGGCATGGCGCGAGATGTACATGCGCGATCTGCAACCCATGACACCAGCCGGGCGAGCTTCCATGTGAAGCATATCGGGCAGTTTGCCAAGAGGCTCGAAGATGTGCGTTGACCCTTGTCCTTGTTCTATTCCTGCGAGAGGCAGTCTGACAGTGAGCACAGTCGGCGGCGCGGGCGTTTCCCAATCGTGGCCGGGCATCTCAGCGCTATAAAAATGTCCAGGCCCTGCTTGTGCACTGGGGCTCCGACGACCTGTTTGTTCTTCCTGAGCTCGAGGATCTGGAAAAGTGCATGCGAGAAGATTATGCGTTTGGCACCGACATCTTTTCTATCCCGTCCGAAAACTCGCATCTGGAGCTCATGATGAGAATTGGCCAGCTCATCAAGGACCACGAATCGCCCGATACCCTTTTCATTATGTACTACGGTGGCCATGCCCGAATTGATGAATCAAGGCAAAGCACGTGGTGTGCGTAAGTATTACCGTGGTTTCCCTTCACTCGTTCATTCACCCATATCTTGATTATCGCCGCAAAGAGTCAACTGTCTAACATGGCTTGAATAGTACGCGAGATCCCGACTCGCCTTGGTTGCAGTGAGTAATTTTCGATAGGTCTATCCAGAAATGCACTTTTCCTGACGCTTCCCAGATGGTCCGCAATTCAGACACTCTTGGAACGATCAAAATCCGACGTTCTCATCCTCCTAGACTGCTGCGCCGGAGCTGCCAGCGCGACCTTCCCTACCGGCAACAGCATCACGGAGACGATATCAGCGTCCAGTTGGGACGCCATCGCCCCCGATCCCGGAAGGTACTCATTCACAAACGCCCTCATCGAAGTCTTGCAGGAATGGCGGCATCGAGTCTTTTCCGCTGCTATGCTTCATGCCGAGGTGCTCGCACGCTTGAAGCATCCAAGGCCCATCACCATCAACGGCAAGCACTTCGAGGCCCGCTCGACGCCTGTTCACTTTATGATGACGGCCAATCATAAAGCACCAAGCATCGAGCTGTCCAGGACGATGCCGGAGGAGAAGAGATCTCACTCGGTTCCTACCATCCCCCACCAGGATATAGAGCCCATGGGAGGCCCTGTCGGCGGCCAGACGCCACCTATGATCACTGCTGGTGGACGGGCAGCAAATCCTGCAGATGCTCTTGTCGGAAACGTCGTTCCGAACGAACCCACCGAGGACACCCCTCATGTGATGATATCGCTGGCATTGGAAGATGATCAAAGGCTAGATATCAATGCATGGGAACAATGGCTAAATGCCTTCCCCGCCATGGCCCGGTACGTCAAGATTCAAGGTGTTTTCAAGAGCCACTCTACCTTGGTCTTGGTCTCGATGCCTGTCATGATCTGGGATCTACTACCAGAGGATCCAGCTACTTCCTTCGTCGCCTTTATCCGTTCAAACAACATAGCAGCCCAGAAACCACAACCGTCGCCAATTACTACTTCCGTACCGGCATCTCGGTTTCAATCGGAGACGGTAGGCCCGGATTCGGCCTCTTTCATGTCTGGTGTCTCAGGCACCACCTTTGCGCCAACCGAGGCCAGTCGCTTTGGCAGCCAGTTTAGAAGCTCCTTCAGCTTCAATTCCGCCCGAGATGTGAGATCAGCTCGGAACGCAGCTCCGGCTAGCCAGCCTGGAACGCCACAGCCAGGACCAGCTCCCTCTTCATCTCCGTCGAACAGACAACTGCCATTCTCCAGGTCCATGAGCTCCGCAACATCTCTTCCCGCTACATATGCAAACCCATCTTCTCTCAGCACCAGCCCTGTAATATCCAGGCAAATGATTCTTAATCAACAACAATCGCAAAGACGCACCACATTTGGTGGTTCCGATGTTCCTGAGCCTCAAAGCTTCTCTGCACACGTTGAGAAGCGCCTGGAGGAATATTACCAGAGACAACCACTTCCAAACGATGGCGAGAGTGCTTTCCTCGCCTCCAACCTTGGAATAGAGCCTTTCCACCTCGGCCTATGGTTCCACCACCGGCGCGAACGGGATTTGGTCACAAACCGGCTGGCTACCATGAAGGTTGGCGGCATACCATTCAGCGAGGAAGGGGGTCCACTGTTGATCTTGCCGGCGGATCTCAGCCGGCTACTCGAAATATCACAGCCCGGACAAACTCTCCTATTTGATATCCGATCGCCATCAGATTACCAAAGATCGCACATTCGCGATGCCGTAAACCTTCGAGTGCCCCAAAACTTCATCAGAGACGCTTCACCCGAGATGATTGGCCGTACCATCTCAGAAGAGCATGGGCATGAAGCCTTTTCTAAATGGCAAGAAGCAAGATGCATAGTCTTTTACTCTCGTGGACTAGAGAGTGCATGGGAGTGTCCCTCGGCAACATCCTTACTTCGCAAGCTCTCTGAGTTCGGATGGACAGGAAGAAGCTTTGTTCTCAAAGGCCACTATCGCGAGTTTAGTGCGTCCTTTGGGCAATACATTGTGGACAGCAAGAGCCCTGAGGCAGATAACGCCCAGCAGCAAAGTGGAGAGCTGTCCAACGAAGCTGCTGTCGATCCGACACAGAACCATGAGCAATACTCTCAATGGCTTGCTCATGTAGAAGCAGAGGATCGATCACGTATGAATGCGTCCTCTCCTACACGGACTACTGAGAGGACAGAATTCGTCGAGAGCCAGGAGCATGAGTTGGAAGCGGAACTAATGGCTCGGTGTGGCGACTTGTATCGGAAAATCCAAGACGTTCAGGCGGGCAGGGACTCATCGTGGCACGACAACTTTGACATAAAAGCACCGATGGTCGAATACCTCGACCGTGGTCTGAACAAAATGCGTGCATATCAACCGTCGCCACAGCAATTGCCGCCTAGTTCTAAGCTAGCTGCTGAGGGTTATTTTGATCGACCTCCTCCGGAGTTGGAGGATGGTGATGACTACGTGGAGATTACCAAGGGCAGCGGCTCTACTGGCGTCTCACGGTCTGGAGTTCAGGTCTCCGCAGAAAGGGGAAGTCCCGGCGACGAGCCTCTACGCAGAGGACGTGGAGGTGGTTTATTAAATAAGGTGTTTCGGCGGGCATAAAGCATGGGGCATGGGATGAGTTTATGAAGAGGTCACGGATTTTCTTGCATGAATGTGCTCGAGCAGCACTTCAAGGTGTTTATGGGGGTATGATGATACCATGGATGTAAGCTTTGGACAAAACCAGCGGCGTTGGGTTGCCTTAAAATATACATGTACTCTTTTTGAATCTTTGCAAAATACAGCATTTCATTAGCCATAATTTGTGTCTTTGCGGAGTGATTAGTAGTTATGCTCCAGTTTACTCGGTCAATGAGAGACGCAATCTTTATAGAAAACTCGCATATTTGTCAAACTCGGTACAAATAATTCTTCAATAACACGGAGTTTGTCCATCATTTCAGTCAGCTCATAGCCACCGTTAGTTTACGATGCTGGCTTGCTCTCTCGGACTGTATATGAGCTACGAGAATGAAGTGTCCTTCTTTCTATACTACGCCGGATGACACTATACAAATGTCGCTCTGTCACAGATTTCTACCTTTGGTATCTCGAAGTCATCGATTCACAAGAGAAGAACAATGTTCACCGCCTCCATGGTCGCCAACGTCTCTCAGTGCATTTCACCTGTACCCAAGAGAATTTTACATGTTAGCGAGAAACTAGTTATAATAGTAGAATAGAAATACTGCGACAAGACATATAGTTGACGGCGCGGTTGATGGATTGACTTGCTCGCTTGTTTGCTTGCCATTATTAACAGCTCAATAAATAAATCTAGCTTCTTTCACAAGAATCATTGATACTTTTTCTTCATTTACACCTAAGCAATATAAGGTTAGGAAGAGGACAATGCTCTAAACCCTGTTTTCACCCCGTGTGCTTCATCATTTTTTGTGCAATTGTGCCACGTACTATGGCCTTCTTCGTCATCACGGAATGTCGCAAAGTAGAGGCCCAGCTGTGAATCTCTATGATGTAAAATAAATAAATGCATATCCCGCATCTATCTGTACATGTCAAATTACCCGCGTGGTTACAAAATGCAGATTGAAGCTGAACTGCGTGGCAGGCTCTGGTCCAAGGCTCACGTCAGACCTTGAACGCCGGTCAAGATTGAATGAAGCAAATATTACGTGAGTTTATTTCTTTTCTCTCGTCAACAGCCACCATAATCCCAATCATATATCATTTTTTTTTAATACTGCATTTCAACATCTCCTAAATAAGCCCAGCAGCGTACCGTAGTCAAAACTAGACGACAGCCCGCGCCCATCTATGTGAAACGTTAACTCCCAAGCGCGAGCATCGTTTACGGCGTTCAAACCATCTTTGAATCGCCGCCTGTCCAACGGAAAGGGCCCCCTGAAAACAAAAAACATCCAATGGTATCTTCGGGACGCTTGCCAAACAAAGGAGGTATTGAGAGCTGCCCACAACCCGATATCATCTCATGCCATCGACACCCCTCCCATCGCCTATTTGTTCTGCCACTCATTGCCAAGGTAGTAGTTGTCTCCCTCAGAGCTCCCACTCCGTATGCACCTGTCATGCTCGTGCAGAACGGGCCTTTCCCCTCACCCCCCCCCATCTTTCTTCCCGGTGTCAACAGGAAAAACAGGTTTAAAGGACTCCTCCCGACCACTCAATCCCAATGCACGCGGTACGGAGCGGAGTACGGAGCCGAACCCCCTCTTTCCGACGAGGCATTGCTTCCTCTCATGGCCTCACTTCGCCAAGACAGGTTGTCTCCGATAGGTCCATTACCCCTGTCCCTTTGTACAGCACAGAAATGTGCTTCTCACACCGGTTGACCTCGCAGAGCCAATGACCAACGGCCTGCAGCTAAGATGCCTGTGGGCACTAAGCAGGGTTGACAAGCGTTGCATGAATGACTCTCGGCCACCCTGGCAAGGCAGCCCTACCACGGGGATCACCGTGTCAAGTCGTAGTCCAATTGTAAAGTGTTGGGAGAACAAGGCTATTATAGAACCGCGTCATGCTGGCTCCTTCTTGACATGGACAGGAAAAGAGTAGCTTTTTTCGTCCCTGTGCCGTGCCCTCGTGCCAGAGCATCAGAACACCATTCAGATTTCCGGTGCGACACCAGATGCATAAAGTGTACGTTGGTTGGTGAATGTCGGGTGCAAAGAGAGCTGCATGATACGCCGAGCACTCAAAAGATACGAGCATTGTGGGCGACACGGTGCTCCCAATGACGACGGGTGTGAGACATCACCAAAGCGCACAAAAGCAATAAGATCTTGATTCCCCCAAGTCCGTCACACCGAAAGGAACGGGCTGTCGATGGCTTTGGAAAGCCTGCGCAGCCACCCGGCACCACCACGTTGTTGAATGAACACTTCTCGGGATGGCACAGGGTCACGTAGAACGTGTTGGTGGTACAATTTTCACACACAACATAAGAAAAAAAGCACAGCCCCTTGCGTTTCCAAAACGCCAGTAGAGATTCATATATAGATTGCCATTAGTTCGTAGGAGTCCAATCGCATCTCTGCGTTGTGAGAAGTGGCCTGATCCACATGCGAAGGAGTTGAAAATCCTAACCCAGATGTTGCCAAGCAAAACGGACTGATTGACAATCTAATCGTGAGACAATCAATGATACAATCATTCGCTCTCCCCCCTGCATTACTTCGTATACTCGTATACAGAGTAATATCGGACAATAGTGGCATGCACGGAGTAGCCCTCTTGGAGACTTTATCTCAGAGTAGCACAACGACGCACGCGAGCTCGTGTAGGCCCATGTTGTGCCACAAGTTACCCGAGACAAAAGCACATCAAACCCTATCTCTGGGAATTATCGATCTTTGCCCGTATATACTTACAAGGCCCTGAAAGCCTTGAAACAAAATGGCTGGCAGATGTTTCGGTTGCTCGCCTCGATGCGAGTATGGATATGGGTTCCGCACTTACAGAAAAAGAATTTGTTGCGATTCGCACCGAGCCCATAATACTGTAGCCGTTAATCAACATGGGTAGGTTTTGAAAATGCTTCAATGATTTCTTAGTGCATCGATTATCATAAGACATCGGCCTGCTGAACTCAACTTTTTGTGCTTAGCACGTCAAGACACCGAAACCGTGTTTATATGACTCCTGCTCATCTTACAGAGCGGGCGCACTTGTCTATAGTGATGTGCAATGCTGACACATATAAAAGCAGATGGGTTCCGTGCTATACTCCGTACTGAAAGGTGAAAAGACGCTATTTGGTACAAGATTCCGACTCCAGAATACTTCGTAGGACAGACACAAGAGCAGGATTCTGTTCCGCTGTCTGGGTATCACTTCTTACGATAACATGTATGTCGTGCTCAGGACAGTAGCCGATCCTCTCTCACCAGATTCCGAGCCCACTTCCGGGAACTTGATCATAGAGACCCTGGTTGCTCAGAAGCGGTGAATACTTGTATGTGACCGTCAAGGACAGCATCAGCTGCTGGATCAAATCGAGAAGGCGCCAAGGCATGTCGCTATCCGGCGTGGCATTTCATTTTTCGTCGATGATCCGGAGACCGGCTACTGGCTGATCTTCACAATGTGGCACTGGATCTTGGCAGAAGAGCAGCTCCCTACCGCTACTCCAGACGCGCGGTGCCAAAGCTGTCAGCACCATAAAAGCATGTGCGGCAACAACTAGGCGCTGGGGATGGAAGCTAAGGACTGCTCGAAACCGCAATACTGGCGGGCACAATGGAGATCCCACAATAATTGCAATGGTACGGAGTATTCAGCACCTGTCATAAAGTAACCACTGGACTCCCCCCTGAGCGACTGGGCGTTGGCTGATCTTGGTGCTCGTAGGACTGTACTTACAAAGCTGTGATTTTATTTTTAGAAGCTTTCGGCATGGTGGTCCCTAGTGCAGTATCACATTTTCAAATCCGAGTTGGAATGAGCGCTTCTAAACGAGCTGAGGAAGAAAGGAGTTCGAGTATCATCGTTGCCCATGGAGTAGCACTCCGTCTTTCACAGCTGTCGTCTGATGACAGCTGAGGCTTAGGCGTTTGATCGTGTCGGCCTGCGGTTAGGAGCCTCTGGTGGCTTCGCGGGGTGTGGCGTACAAGCCTTTGGCCCCCCCAGCAGCAGCCTTGTGTGTCTCGTCCCCAGGAGCTGTTGGATTGCAAAAGGTGTCTGTTGCCCAGTTGAGTTGGGCTTGCGAATGGCGAATGCACGGCCCCCCTGTTGCTTCGGGAGTGTGGGTAGGGGATGCTTGCCCTTGCTGTCACCAGACCTGTTGTTGCCTGGTCAGGGCCGGCACTGCGCCCGATTCTTTACTTTGTGCATCCTCGCACAGAGCACCCCATATGTACAAGTATGGTCAAATCATGGGCACGTAACTCTGTAGTATTACGGAGAAGCGACGGGCCAAATAGGCAATAGCGGATGGAGCATGGCAAAAGGCGTCAGCAATGATAGGAGTGCACACTTGTGCTGAGTAACTTCTGCCCACCTCGATTCTTTTATTGCCCTGATGCAACCGTTCTGCACTGCGTAAGCATCCGGGCTTCTCTGCAATCTGACCTGCCAGACTCTATATCTTCTGATGGGACGTGCCGCGAGACGGGGTATTTTGGCAGCGGCATTCGTTGCCGACAAGCTTGCGTGTCCACCGTAAGATATTATGAGATCTCTGGGGTGTGTTGATACTAGGTGCATCGCGTCAATCTGCAACGTCCGGCCAAGTCGGCCCACTTGCTTGTCGCTTCTAGCACAATGACACGCCCGCAAGCCGGTGATGAGCTGAGCAGGCTAGGATATTAACTGGCCTAGCGTAGAGTGAAGAGCGAGCGAATCAGAAGCCATCCCAGCGTATGGGTGTTGTTTCAGGAAATCATCTCCGATAGCGCGGGAATCGAGTGGGCAGCTGAGATCCAGGTTGGGTGAAGTGAAACGCAGCTTGGCCTTCAACGGCCAAGAAAAGTACGAGAAAGCATACATAGTAGGTAAACCTGCCCATGCCGTTATCATTTCCACGTGCCTCACTGGGAGAGCTTTTTTATGTGCCGCACTTGCGTCTGCATCCTGTAGGTAGTATAATTGTACGGCACCTGGAGGTGCACAAGCAGGGAGTATGCCATATAAACTCGGTGAAGGCGGGCATCAAACTTGCGGCTTGCAAAACTTTGTTGTTTTACGGCGTCAATGCTAGCTTCGAAGCTTTGTTGCCTTGTTTATGTTTGGCCGAAACGATGTGCTATTTTTGGCACCTCTTCTCGCAATGAGGCCGG